AAATTCTGTCTTCTTTGTCCTATACTGTTAGATATTGTTAGATACACAGACAGACAGACAGACAGACACACACACATATGCATACACACAAACATGCAATAAAAATGAGATTCTTCTCTGGACTGAAACATGGTTAATATCTTTAGGAGGTTTCCTTGTATGAGCATAAGCAGTCCAGTGAGCTTGGGTTAACTAATCCCTTAGAATAGTCACCACTAACTGCACTGGATGGGGAACGGTTTCTGTGTTTGTCTTTGTGAACACTTTGGAAGGCAAGCCAGGAACATGCTTGCACAAAGTAACAGAGGGACTGGTGCGACCTGATGGCGTGTCTAGCCAGTTCCTCTGGTTATCAGAATGCCGCAGTGGCATTACTTAGCATGTCCTGGGCTCAGGGCTTTAATTAGACAAAGCTGAAGGGAATATTTAACTTGGACGTAAATGATTCATCAAAGATTTTTGAAGTTTTAATTTGGAAGCAGAATGGTGATTACTAAGGATTGGGGGAAGTACCAGGGTGGTTGTGGGGTAGGGTAAAGGAGCAAGATAGGTGGGTAAATAAGTGCCCGTTGAACACACGTGTGGGAATCTCACTGAGAGTCCCATTAATATTAGCACAAGCGACATGCGCCAGCAAAACAATTCAAAGGTGAAAACGAGCACCAGGTACTTAGGAGCTTAACTAACAGTGTCATGTGCATCCACACACATACACTACGGGCAGACCTTCCTGCAGAAAATTGCTGCCATTCTACCCCAGCGCACCTAAGGGAACTGAATTCCATTTTGGTCTTCTTATTCGTCACGTTTTCTGTGTGCCTTGTTTGCTCTTTGCCTCTGCTTTAGAACACAGCTTCTTTGATCAAATCCTTTAAAATACTGATTGCACAGATACCTCCCAGTTTCTATCAGCAATGGTTCTCAGGGCTGCTCACTCCAAGGTAATTAACCGTTTGTCCCCTCCAGAGCTGTACAGGTCCCCCGCAAGGCTAGCATTTAATATGGACTCCACCCCTTCCAGATGATGGCTCCCCGCTAGCTTCTGAGGAATGTTGTCTGCCTCCCTTGCTTCTGTTTTCCACCATTGTATCAGCCTACAGCTGACAATCATGGGTTCAGTTATTAAGCACTTACCACGCACCTAGAATAGTCAAGTACATAGTCCTCTTGACACTAGTGACGCTGGAACATCCTTTGAAGTTCGTTTTCCCAAGTAGATGCAAGGAATTCTGACATCGTGCTTCACTTGTTTGTTTAAATATGAGTCAAACGTTTTTACGCTTTTCAGGTAGATGGCTTTGGAGGGAAAACCTCACAGGGAAGGGGCTGGAAGTCGGCTCAGCAGTTAAGCTCCTGCAGAGGGCAGAGTTCAGTTCCCACATAGTAGCTCCCAGATACTTATAGCCCCAGTTTAGGAGATCTGACATTGGTTTCTGACTTCTACTGGCACCTACACATACGTTCCACACACAATGGCCATACGTACATACATGCAAGTGAAGGCATAAATGAAAAGTGAGCACCTGTCAGGTACTATGGAAGTGCTGGCTGTAGTTACAATCTTCACGGCAGCATTTAACTCGTGCCTCAATTCAAAATATGGGAAGATATTTTAAAACGTTTTCAAGTGGGGTTTCCTTATGTATCTAGGCAGGATTTGAACTTCTGGTGTAGGCTGGGCTGGCCTCAAACTCACTATCCCCTTGCTTGTGTCTTGTTACTGCTGAGGTTTCAGGTGTGGATCACCATGCCTGATTGAAAAAGAATGGACTGTTAAAGTACCCCCCCCCCCCCGCACCCCGTTTGTCCTAGAAGAGCTTTTCTTTGTGACAAATGAGAGAAATACAAACTCAAAGAAAGTTAAGCAACAGATGAAATTCATTGGCTTGCTTTCCTTGGAAGTCAAATCAGACACAGCGAGATCCGGGTGCTCGAGTCCTGATTCAGGTCCTTTCCCCCCCTCTAGCCTCTGGGTCTGCTTTTGTCCTTTTCTTTGGAGGTACGTTTCTCTGAGTGTCCAGATGCCTGCTGACGTCACCGTATAGCACGGCACCAAGAGTGCTTTCTTCACTATGTCCTTATCCCCGCTCAAGGAAATGTACCAAGGATAGCGTGCGTGGATGAGCAGGAGGGACACTCGGCATGCGCAGGATGGGTTTCTCTGGTTGGGTTGCTTCTTACTGTGCCAATCACCGTGTTCCAGAGGGTGATGGAACTGCCCAGACGGAGGCAAGGGATGGGAGAAAGGTGACTCTCCGAGTGATTGCTTTTGGGAGCAGATGAATATTCCATGGTTCCATGTGCTTTTTGTTTTTAAATGAAGCTAGGCTTTTTGGAGACAAGGAAACAAAAATGGTGAACGAACAGACTATTCAGTCACGGCCATTAAAAAGCACCACGGTATCATACAGTTCGGTCCCCCTACTGTCACATGGAAATAAAAAGGAGACATTTTCTTGTATTGCCCTGCTTGTAGAATCAGCTATGTGGGAAAAAATTAAAAAGTCAAAATGTGAATTAGGGAGGATGCAGAACAACGATTTCTCTATAAACTGGTTAAAGTAGGACCTGATATGTCTTCATTGGAAAATAATCCACTGCATACAGACTTACTGAGATCTAACAGCTAATCTTTTGGCTGAAGGGATTTATTTTGAATATTTAAAACATGGGAATTTAAATCATAGGATCATTACCTGAAAGGAATTGAAATGAATCTTTTTGTTCCATAAATGGATGCTTATGTGTATTAAGTATTAAAAACAGGATTATAAACACATGGGATTTTTAACTCACATGAGACTAGTTTGAATTTTATTCTCAATAGAATTTCAGACCCTGGGCAAAGGGAAGGCTGAATGCCATTCATCTAGCATGGATGCAAGCTGCACTTCCTTCCCACTGTCTCATTCTTTTTCTCAAAACCTCTTCTGAGAACTGCAAAGAGCCTATCTCAGACGCCTTCCCCAGATCACACATTATAGATCTAGTAGCACGACACTGCATCGCTTAGGAGCCCAGGTTTCCACCACTCGACAAAATGTCCCTCCAGGTGATCTCACATGCATGTTGTCCATCACCAAATCCTTGGGAAGGAGTCTTGGAGAAGATTCTACAGATAAGAAAGTTATGGTTCTGAAGCTGTGGGTGAGAAAATGGGACCAGAAGCCAGTCTTAAGGACTTCACCAAGTGTGGTCTCCACACTGACACGTGGAAATGAAAAGAAGACGCTTTCTTGTATTGTCCTGTTTATGGTATAGAGTCTTGACTTTACACGTTGGCTCTGCGCAAGAGCGCTGTTGTTTGCTTGTGAAATATCCCCCAGAGGCTCATGCGTTTAAACACTCGGGACCCAGCTGGTGCTTCTCTTTGGGAAGGTTGTGGAACTTCTAGGGGCTGGAGCTTAGCTGAAGGACATGGGTCAAAGGGGCACAACCTGAGGCTTTTACTGCATAGCCCTATTTCCTAACCACCCTCTGCTTCCTGAGTGTGAATACAAGGTTGATGGGGGAAGTCCTGTGTATATGTCAATAAAGCACTGTTGGCCAATAGGGAAGCAAGATAGGTGGGACTAGGAGTCAAGGAGGACTCTGGGTAGGAGAAACACAGAAAGTCAAGATGTAGCTGCCGTAGGGATAAGAAGCCCGGAAACTTTGCTCCGGTAAGAGAAATACTTAGATTAACAATTATGGGGTAAATACTTAAGTCAGAGCTATCCAGTAAGAAAAAGCAAGGCCAACAGCTTCATAATTAATACAGCCTCCTGTGTGTTTATTTGGGACTGATTCAGCGGCTCTGGAACCAGGCTGGCAGGAAGGTTTCCCATTACACAAATTAGTTAACCAGATTCCTGTCTTCCCTGCCTGAGGCCATGTATTGCCTGCCATGATGGACTGCTTCTCTTTGGAACTGTAAGCAACAGATACACTGTTTCTCCTTTAAATTGCTCTTGTCAGGGTATTTTTATCTCAACAAGAAAAAAGTACCTAGGACAAACAAGTTACCAGTACTCCTAATGCTAACCTATCTTCAAGCCTGGAGAGAGAGTGGGGCTAGAGAAATAGAGAGGCCGAGCACAGCAAATCGTGGGGTTTTAAGCTGATCAACCTTTAACTCTAAGTACTGTACTTCTGTGGTTCAAGATCCCTTTTGGAGTTATGGATACTCCCACACTAAAACTAAGATCAGGGTCCATGCCACACCATTCAAAGCTTGGAGAATGGAGACTATGCATGATTCAACACCTGCTATTTGGTATGAGTCACTCAAGAATTCCAAGTGATTTGTTTATTGATTTTCTGCATTTGGCAGTAGGCTCATGGTCCGCTATGTGGTGATTTTGACTACAATCCTTATCATAGGGAATTTACTATTTTGTTTAAAAGGCTCCACTCTTGAACAATATTCCACTGGAGTGCACCCCAGTCCCCTTTACGGTCTAAAGCAAGATGGACTTCGCCATTAGCTGCTAATATTTTTCTTTAAATCTATCCTCTTCTCAGTTCTTAGGTTTACCCATCAGTGCTCCAAGCCCAGGCATGTATGCTTTCAAGTGAAATTGCTGTTAATGGTGCAAAATATTTACAGTTATACCCCAAATTCAAACAGCCAGAAAACTTTATTTCTCCTTTTGTAGTTTCAGTATTTAATTAGTGATGAAGGCCCAGAAACCTTCAGGGAGAAAACACCCCATTATTTTTTAAGTTACAGTGTATTTACAACCCATTTCCACCTGCTCCCTTTGTCTCCACCTGTCTCTGCTGTATACAGATTCATCTCAGCCAGCCCCTCAGGAATACAGCTGTGTCATCACATACGGTGGTATCCTAATATTTCATACTAAGCCGTAAACCAATTACGAATGACTACTCACTGTGCTGACTCATGGGAAGGGAAGGGGATAATGTGTCCTTCAGGTAATGAACTTCTTTGGGGACTTGACACATATTTCATTTTCCAGTACTGTGCTTTCCCCTTGTCACGTTTCTGTGGATGTAGCTTCTTTTTGCTTCATGGTGCTATGAGGATTATGCAGAGCTTGCCAGCCAACCAAGTGGCCAATCTCTTAAACCCCCTGAGAACACCTTGGAGCACTCAAGTAGATCTGGTCCAAGTGAGTATGTCCTTGCAGGGAAGTGGTACATGCTCAGTGTGCCATGGTTTCTCTTTAGTCAACATGAGAATGTATCAAATTATCATCAGAAGACACTGCTGGGACCCACTTCCAGGTCTCCTGATTCAGCAGGACTTGGGTAGTGCCTGGTGCTGCTGAGCCTGGGACCACATTGAAGATATGATGCCACCATTCCACCCTTTTCCCAGATGATGGAGAATTCCTTACTGAAAACACAAATTACTGTCAAGTGTAACTGTGTGTTGGAATCAGAGACTACAGAGCCAGCCAGCAATTGAAGTCAGCTAAGTAGGTGAAGTTGTCCATAAACAGAGAGAACGGGAGTGTGGGACCCATAGGTTGTGGGGTGATCTAAAAGACAGCTTTGTCTGGGCTCCACGGGGTTGTGGTCTGTGGGAATCAGATCTTCTAGCATTATGAGACAAACCTCAAATCAAAAATTTTAAAGCATGAATTTTCTTGTTTTAAAATAGATGCTTTGGGTGCTTTGGGTTAGGGAGATAGCTCAGTGAGTATATATGCATACATAATAATATCATGATATAACTCATTGAATTTGGAACCTCAGCACCCATGTGAAAGTCTAGCATGGTGATGTATGTCTATATCCATAGTGCTGAAGGAGTAGAGACAGAGAGATCCTGGAGGCTTACTGGACAGCCTAGGCTAGTTAAAATAGCCATCACCAGGTTCAGGGAGAGACCCTGTCTCAAAACCAACCAACCAGCAAACAAGCAAACCAGAACAAAGTGGCAAATTGACCTTTGGCCTCCACATACACATATGTGAACACACACATACACACAGACATAAAAATGAAGATTTATATAGATGAAATTAACTTCTCTATGAGTGAGAATTAGAGCTTGCCACTGTACAAACTTGACTAAACAAAACAAATCTATCAGTCATTTCCCCCAAGAAGACAAATGGGTTTATTAGGCAGGTTAGAACTTTCTTTAAATTTTCCTCTAACTTTCCTATATGTCCATCTTTTTCTAGTGCAGTTAGGTCCCAAGTCCCTGCCTAGGTCCTTGTGGTAAAGTTTAGGGATATCTTGAGTCAATAATAAGTGGGCATAACTCTAAAGTGTGTATTATATTGGTTGGGGGTTCTCTATCTGTCTATCCATCTATCTATCTCTATATATGGTATATACTGTATATGATAATATGCACAATGATACACATACACACATACACATAAAAAGGGTTTATGGATTGGCTTATATAATCAGACAGGGTATTTTCCTCATGCCTGTCTACAAGCTGCGTATCTGGAGAAACTAGCGGTTGATTAGTTCAAGAAACTGGAAACATCAGATTAGAGAGATTAAGGACATAGTTCCACTGAGGCTTCAGGCTTGGAAGGTATCTGAACAGTAGCTGGTGCAGATCTCCTTCCAGAGGCAGAAGAATCTGGACTCTGGTGTCCACGGGTAACAACAGCTGCCAAACATATCATGCTCCAGAGTGCATCAGTCACCTTTCTTGTCACTGTGAGAAAACAACTGATAGAAGCAACTTGGAGAAGGAAGGGTTGTTTTGGCTCAGGATTTTGGAGGTTATGAAGTGCATTACGGTAGAAAAGACATGGAGGATGGTGGAATGGATGGAGGATGGCTTCTTATTTGGTAAGCAGACCAGGAAATAGGAAAGCTAGCTTGGAACAGAAGGATATGACCTTGGAAGGGAGACTCTTCCAAAGCCCGGTGCTAATGGCCTATGCTCTCCACTAGGTCTCATGTCCCAAAGGTTTCATAACCCATTAAAACAGCTCTACCCCTGTGCACCAAGTGCTCAGGCTCACTAGCCGTGGGTGACGTTGCTCATTCAGATCATCACAGATGGGTTGTGCTTGGACACAGGCGGACTTCCCTATTCTGCTTTTTCACTCCCCTGGGCACAGAGCTCATTGAGTGGCACCACTGACATTCAGGGTGGCTCCCTGTGACTTAGTGTGGTGCTTCACTCTTTTCAGGAGACGCTCTCCCAGACACACCCAGAAGTGAGCTTCTTCCTTTGTTCTAGGCATCTCTCACCCCAGTCAAGCTGATGGCAATGATGGATCATATTCAACACTCAAACACTGGGTCTGATGGGAGGGGTGCAAGCCCAAGATGAGAGGTGGTTCTGGAGGGATTTCTGGGCTTGCATTAGAGGGGCAGTAGACTTCTGCTGTAAGAGTCTGTGAAGTTGGACAGCTAGGATGTACACCCTCTTTGAGGGTGAGTCTCCCTCTGCAGCTCTCAGGTTTGCATCTCATTTAATCCCCATGACAACTTAACCAGCTCGTAGTCACCATTTTAATGAGAGAAATACTTTACACTTGGTATGTGGTTGAGCTGTGATACGAGCATGCCTCGGTTGGTAAATGGTGTGATGAATGGCAGGAAAACCATGGCTTCCATTTATATTTTTATGACCCCAAATTTTACAGTAGGAATTGGGCCCCATATTTGTTCATATTCACACATAGCAAGGGCTTAATTTCTCTTGATTAGCTTTAAAATGACCCCAGAAAAGTTCATTGCCAGCTCGTGTAACCTGTATTGAAATAGAGCATTAACAGAAACCTCATAACCCACCCCTGAGCCATTAACATCCTGAATTCTGAACAGGGAAGATCCTAATTCTTTAGCTGAAATTTCTTTGCTCCACTAAGTTCAATCCATGTTGGGGCTATTAAAATGTCCTCTCAGCACTTGGTCTGAAATCAGCCCCTTTTTACAAATTTCCTCATTACATAGATCTACAGCCCTTCAGAAATGAATGGTTTTTGGTGGTGGTATGTCTGTGATCTTAATAACATTATATAATGTGTCCTGATGAATCAATGTTTGAGGGCCATCTAGATCTGAGCTAGATTAAAAGTAAATAAAAATGGACTTGGAGCATAATTCTTATGTCCGTTAAAAAAAAATCTTCAAAAACCTTTCTGAAATAGAGATCATAGAAGCAAAGGAATAGGAATGCCTGAGCACAGGAATGTGAATGGTTTAGGAGAGGTACTTAATATTCATCTGGTACTCACTGCAATAACATCAATCTCACCATATTCTCTTGGTATTAATGTAGATGTTCTGCATTTAATATATACTACCAGTGGAATTTCATTGTAATTGAGCACTAAATGATGTCTACTTACGGCAAAGTGGTTCCAGAGTTTTCTGTAATAAATAGATTTTAGTAGGATAAAGGATCCAAAATTCATCACCGAGTCTATACTAGACTCTTTATGCTTTAATTGTCATTGATGGTCTTTACTGTATTATTTCCAGACAGTTCATAATTACTCCAGCTGAACAAATGATGATTTGTGAATGGAGTAAGACATTGACTGGATTATGTGGTACCATTGATTTTTTTTTAATGCTCTGGTTTCACAAAATACAGCTGGTCCTCTGTATTGATGGCTTCAACATCTGCCAGCTGGGGATTAAAGTGTTTTTAAAAATTGCTCGTGTACTTATCACATCCAGACTTTCTTCCTTGTCCTCATCCCTGGAACAATCTAGCACAAAAACTACTCATACAGTGCTTTCATAGGCTAGCTGTTATGATTTAGTGACAAAGTTTATAAGTGGATTTATCCAGGTTCTGTGCAAAGAAGTTGAGTATCCTAAGATTTGTGTACCTGAAAGAAGTGTGGGCATCCATCTCCCAATGACACCAAGGATGACTCCCCTCTAAAATCACTTGGTGCCTCAACATTGATGCCACTCTTTTTTTTTTTTTTTTTTTTTTTTTGGTTTTTCGAGACAGGTTTTCTCTGTATTGTTTTGGAGGCTGTCCTGGAACTTGCTCTGTAGACCAGGCTGACCTTGAACTCACAGAGATCCGCCTGCCTCTTCCTCCCAAGTGCTGGGATTAAAGGCGTGCACCACCAACGCCCCGCTTGATGCCACTCTTAATGGCATGGAATTGTAACAAAGTGACTTGGGTCATGACAGTGATACAGTGATAGAAAAAATGCATTAATGGAGTGCTCACTATATATTAAACACACTGTTAAATGGTTTGTGGTTAGTATCCCAATGGAACCTCATGGCAACATTAGTTCCAGTTCCCAACTAAATGCTAGTTAGGTTACCTGAGAATCAGGAACTTAGGAGTTGTAATGCGTCTCTGATAACTAGACAGAGGTGTAGTTGAGCTTAAATTCATGTTAGATTGGCTTTAGGTTTCAAAGTCTGTGCTTTGAGCCATTATACCAGATACTGAATTGATGGGTAGCAGGTACAGAATTTTCTGTAAGCAGTTGAGGAAAAATGGATGCCTGAATGGTAAGAATTCCTATGTTTCTTTGTCATCAGTAGGATAGACTCATGGTGAGTTGAAATTTCATGAAGAGAGCTTCACTGAGAAGTAATCCATACTCAGAGATGCAAACACTGTATTTTCTCTCATTTATGGATGTTAGCTTCAAACTTTCAGGTATGCATGTTCTATTTGGAATCACTCTAAAGGTCAGCAGATTAGTAAGGGAGGGGGATTTCAAGCAATGGGAGATAAAGCAGAGTGGTCTAAAGAGCTAAAAGGGGATAATGGAACAGGAAGGGTTAAATGGGGTGAGTTATGAAAGGTCAGGGCAGGGGAGGGGATGGGAGGTGCATAAAACTAAAGACATTTCAAAAGTGTTATATGGAAATGTACTACAGTAGAATCTTCCTAAAACACAAATACATAACAAGATTTTAGTTACAGTTACCCTATAATGGACAACAATACTCCTATGACACACCACAGGATAATAAATAAAAAATTCATTGCCAGGGCCAAGAATGTATTAGCTCATCTGGAGTTATTGGCAAGAGAGGTCGCATAGATCCCCAAGCTTTGGAGGCTATTGCCATGGCTCTTGGTAAGCCTCCAGACTTTGATGGTAACCCCTATTGCTGAAGACAGCAACACTTGAGTCAGAGAACATGAAGAGATCAAGATGGTACTCACCTGCAAGCTTCATCCCTACTGGCTAGCTTATATAATGCTGGAGGTGCTACACCTGCTACCAAAGAAGAGAAGAAATCACTAGTCTTACCTAACTGTGAACTCTGTTACCTTTAGACACTGGCGTGGTAGTGGATGAATGTCATTGGAGTAACCAAGCACTCTTAGATTTGAGGCCTGCTCCACAAATTGAAGTCTACAATTGACACCATTATTAGGGCCAAAATGTGTGACCTGTGTGACTAAAGAGACCATGGGCCTCATAGGAGTATATTCTATTATTACTTTCCTAAAAGGGCACAGTATTAAGCTGACTTTTCACCCCTGAAACAGGGTTTCTCTGTGTAGCTCTGGCTGTCCTAGAACTCACTCTGTAGATCAGCTTCTGCCTCCTCAGTGCTGAGATTAAAGGTGTGCGCCACCACCACTCAGCTTAAGCTGACTCTTAATGAATAATTGGTATAGTCACAGATTAATGCTTATATAAACCTTTATACAATCTTGTTTTTGCAGTAGATAATAAGTAACAGATAACTTTCTGCAGTAGATAATAATTAATCAGCCACTGGTAAATGTACAGAGAATGAGAGACAGTGGGGTGTCCAGTCTTAGTAAATGGGGCATCTATATCCCACTTCCTCCTCCCAAGCCTCAGGGATCATTCAGAAGAAGGGAGATGGAAAGAGAATAAGATCTAGAGGCAGCTGATGGTTACAAGGACAAGGTGCTTTCCAGACTCAGGACAATTGCACACATGCACTCACGACAGATGTGACAGTGTGCACAAAGACCTGTACAAGCTCACGCCAGACAAAACCCCAGAGTGTGGGAGGTGGACACAGAGCACTACCTCTAGCTAAGGGGCTCTTGGCAACTGATAGCTGCTGAATCTGGTGGTAGACTGATTCCCATTTTCCTGAGGAATCTCCATGCTGATTACCAAAGTGGCTGCACAACTTGGCACTCCCACCAGCAATGGAGGAGTGTTCCCCTTTCTCCACATCAATATCCAGCATAAACTGTCATTGGTGTTTTTGATTTTAGTCATTCTGACAGGAATAAGATGATAGTATCTCCGAGTTGTTTTGATTTGCATTTCCCTGATGGCTAGGGATGTTGAGCACTTTCTTAAATATCTCTTCAGCCATTTTAGACTCCTTTATTGAGAATTCTCTATTTAGTCAGTCCTCTACTTTTTAATTGGATCCTTTGGTGTGTTGAAGACTTGCTTCTTGAGTTCTTTGTAAATTTTGGAGATCAACCCTCTGTCAGATACGGGGTTAGTGAATATCTTTTCCCGTTCTGTGGACTGCCTTTTTGTATTGCTGACTGTGTCCTTTGCCTTACAGAAGCTTCTCAGTTTCAGGAGGTCCCATTTATTAATTGTTGATCTCAGCATCTGTGCTACTGGTGTCATGTTCAGGAATTGGTCTCCTGTCTCATGATCCCACTCCTGATCACCAGGTGACTGGTGGGGCAAAACCAAAGCGGCTGGCAAGGAAAATCTTCTCTCTACAGATGGTGATGCCTCCAGAAATTCGTTTATAGCACAGGGTTGTTTTGGCTACCCTGGGTATTTTGTTTTTCCATATAAAGTTGATTATTGTTCTTTTAAGGTCTGTGAAGAATTGTGCTGGTATTTTGATGGTGATTGCATTGAACCGTAGATTGGTTTTGGCAAAATTGCCATTTTTACTATGTTGATCCTACCTATCCAAAAGCATGGGAGACCTTTCCATTTTCTGGTATCTTCTTTAATTTCTTTCTTTAAAGACTCAAAGTTCTTGCTATACAGGTCTTTCACTTGTTTGGTTACCATTACCCCAAGATATTTTATGTTGTTTGTGTCTATTGTAAAAGGTGATGTTTTTCTGATTTATTTTTCAGCCTATTTATTGTCTGTATATAGTAGGGCTACTGATTTTTTTGAGTTTATCTTGTATCCTGCCATTTTGCTGAATGTGTTTACCAGCTGTAGGAGTTGCCGTGTACAGTTTTTAAGGTCGCTTATGTAAACTATCATATCATCTGAAAACAGTGAAAGTTTGACTTCTTTTCCAATTTGTAAACCCTTGATCTCCTTTTGTTATCTTATTGCTCTATCTAGAACTTCAAGTACAATATTGAAGAGATATGGAGAGAGTGGACAGCCTTGTCTTGTTCCTGATTTTAGAGGAATTGGGTTGAGTTTCTCTCCATTTAGTTTGATGTTGGCTGTTTGTTTACTGTATTTTGCCTTTATTATGTTCAGGTATGTTCCTGTTATCCCTGATCTCTCCAGGGCCATTATCATGAAGGGATGTTGAATTTTGTCAAAGTCTTTTTCAGCATTGGGTGAGATGATCATGTGATTTTTCTTTTGTAGTTTGTTTATGTGGTGGATTACATTTATAGATTTTTGTATGCTGAACCATCCCTGCATCACTGGGGTGAAGCCTTCTTGATTTGATTTGCCAGTATTCTATTGAGTATTTTTGCATCAATGTCCACGAGGGACACTGGTCTGTAGTTCTCTTTCTTAGTTGTGTCTTTGTGTGGCTTGGGTACCAAGGTAATTGTAGTCTCATAGAAAGAGTTTGGCAATCAACCTTCTGCTTCTAGTGTGTAGAATGCTTTGGGGAGTATTGGTATTAGGTCTTCTTTGAACTTCTGATAGAATTCTGCACTGAAGCCCTCCAGGCCTTGGCTGTTTTTGGTTGGGAGATTTTTGATGACTACTTCTATTTCATTAGGGGTTATAGGTGTGTTTAAATTGCTTATCTGTTCTTGATTTAATTTGGGTAAGTGATATCTATCCAGAAAAATTTTCATTTACTTTACATTTTTTAATTTTGTGGAGTACAGGTTTTCAAAGTATGACCTGATGATTCTCTGGATTTCCTCAGTGTCCATTGTTATGTCCATCTTTTCATTCCTGATTTTCTTAATTTGCATGTTCTTTCTCTGCCTTTTGGTTAGTTTGGATAAAGGTTTTTCTATCTTGTTGATTTTCTCGAAGAATCACCTCTTTGTTACATTGATCTTTGTATTGTTTTCTTTGTTTCGACTTTAATGATTTCAACCCTGTTTTATTATTTCCTGGCTTCTACTCCTCCAGTCCAACTTTGCTTCTTGTTGTTCTAGAACTTTCAGTTGCGTTGTAAATTCTCTAGTGTGACTATTCTCCAGTTTCTTCATGTGAGCACTTAGTGCTATGAACTTTCCTCTTAGTACTGCTTTCAAAGTGTCCTATAAGTTTGGGTATGTTGTGTCTTCATTTTCATTGAATTTTAGGAAGTCTTTAATTTCTTTCTTTATTTTTTCCTTGATCCAGGAATGGTATAATTGCACATTGTTCAATTTCCATTAGTTTGTAGGGTTTCTGTAATTTGTGTTGTTGTTGAATTCTAACTTTAAAGCATGGTGATCTGATAAGATACAGGAATTTATTCCAAATTTTTGACCTGTTGAGGTTTGCTGTGTTGCCAAGTATATGGTAGATTTTAGAGAAGGTCCCATGTGGCACTGAGAAGAAGATAAATTCTTTTGTGTTTGGATGGAATGTTCTATAGATGTCTGTGAAACACAATGGTTTCTTTGTTAAGTTTATGTCTGTTGGTCCTGTCTAGTGGTGAGAGTGGGGAGTTGAAGTCTCACACTATAACTGTGTGAGGTCTTATGTGTGATTTGAGTGCCTTTGTATTTTGGGCATAGATGGTCAGAATTGAGACTTTTTCCTGATGGATTTTTTCCTGTGATGAATATAAAATGACCTTCTTTATCTCTTTTGATTTTAGTTGAAGTCTAATTTGTTAGATAGGATAGCTACACCAGCTTATTTCTTGTTTCCATTTGATTGGAACCTTTACTCTGAGGTCATGTCTGTCTTTGGAGTTGAGGTGTGTTTCTTCTATGCAGCAGAAGGATTGATTCTGTCTTTGTATCCATCCGGTTAGTCATTGTCTTTTAATAGGCAAATGAAGACCATTAATATTGAGGAAAATTAAGGACCATTGAGTGTTAATTCTTGTTTGTTTGTTTTTTTTATTTGTTGTTGTTGGAGCTATTGTTTGTGGATTTACCCTACTTTTTCTTTTGGCTTTTGATAAAGTGGGATTATTTATTATGTTTTTGGGAGTGTAGTTAACTTCCTTAGTTTGGAGTTTTCCTTCCAGTACTTTCTGCAGGGCTGGATTAGTGGATAATACATTGTTTAAATCTGGTTTTGTCGTGGAATATCTTTTTTTCTCCAACTATAGTGACTGAAAGCTTTGCTGGATATAGTAGTCTGGGCTGGCATCTGTGGTCTCTTAATGTTTGTAGAAAATCTGTCCAGAACCTTCAGAGTTTCCAAGGAGAAGTCAGGTGCCATTCTGATAGGTTTGCCTTTATATGTTACTTGGCCTTTTTCCTTTGCTGCTGTTAATAGTCTTTATTTATTCTGTATATTTGGTGTTTTGATTATTATTTGCTGAGAGGACTTCTTTTTTGTGGTCCAGTCTATTTGG